ATTTTCCGCAGACCACAGAAATAATTGAAACAGAAATGCACAGAATCGACTAAAAAAGCCACAGATCTGTGGATTTTTTTCTGTGCACAGAAAAATAATTGAAATAGAATTCTGTGGTTTTTGCATGTTTTTGGATGTTTTGCAGAATCTGTGGATGTTTCCACAGATTCTGTGCATGTTTCCACAGAATCTGCGGACTTCTTTTTCCGCAGAATCTGTGGAATAATTGAAACAGAATTTCTGTGGTTCTGTGGTCTGTGCACAGAACGCAGACCGCAGAATCTGTGGACAATTGAAATAGGGCCCTGGTGTATATTTATATAAAGATTGTAAAAGTAATAATTAAATTAAACAAAAAAATAAATATAACAAATAATTTTAGAAAATTATAAAAAAAGAAGAAAGTAAAGATTAAAAATTAGCCTTCTATTAACTTTCTAAAATTAATTTTATATAAAATACAGTTTTAATATACATATTTTTAATTTAGTTTTTCAATTAAATTTAGTTAAAATAAAGTTACTAATTATTTTAACTATATAAAAAGGATACAAAAAAGGATACATAGAATATTAATTAGCAGTTGAGTAATTTTTTTTAAAAATCTAAAATAAGAAAAGTTAAAATTGGAATTGGTGCTAATCTGTGCCAATTAAATTAATTACATAGAGGTGTGCCAAGAAAAGAAATAATTTTTTTTAATAAATTTAAAAAAGAAAATTCAACTTGAATTCTGAGTTTTTTTTTAAATTAAATATAGAAAATGTGGAGAACTGATTTTTGTTAAATATTTGGTAATATAGGTAGTTAGACCTCGCTTCAGATAAACCTCTAATTAAGCGATGTTTTAAAATTCGATTTGAACTAGTTGGAGGGGGGGGGGGGGAAGTTGTGCCCCAGAATATAAATAAATAAAAATAACTCATTATCAAGTTGGATGGTGGCACAGTCGGTTGTGCGTTTGTTTGGGATGTTGCAGCGATAGTTTCATTCCATTCCCCATCCAATTAATTTTTTCCGCAATATTTCCCCAATTTTTCTCAATATGTGGGCTAAGGAATACCCCGATTTAAGAAAATAAACCTCATTTCAAGGTATTATTTTTTAGACCTAAAAATGAGTGTGCCTAAAAATGAGATGAGAATTGACTTTATAATTAATTCCACGTATTTTAAACACAAAAATTAATTTAATAAAAATTTAAAATATTTTTTAATAGAAATAAAATATATTTTTTTTTATTATTTTCTTTTCTAAAAATGTTTCAAAATTTAATTTATTTAATTTTTTAGAGTTTGTACTTTATAATTTAAGAAAAATCTTAAATTAATAGAAAATACACTTTTTAAATTAAAAAAAGAAATTTTAATTTAAATAAAAGGTTTTTTGAAAAATAAACAAAATGAGCTGGAGATTAAAAATATTTAAAAATAATTTTTGAGAAAAGATTTTGGTTAAAAAAACTAAATAGTAATACCTATATATCCGATATGAAAAGCCAAAAGAATTTTTTAAATCTCAACAAAAATCTTTTCTATTAAATTTAAACACTGCTTTATATTAGGGATTTGCCGAACTTAATTTTAAAAAGTGAAAAACAAAAATGAAAAACTAATACTCCTATCATGCTGTAAAAAAGGTTAATGAAGGTGAGAAGGAATAAACGCATGGAATCTAATCCTAAACACAATCCAAACTATTATGTTGTTGGGTGTGAGATGGACTAGAATCATCATGGAAGTAGCCCAGAACGAAATAAAAACCGAACGAGCTAACATCCAAAAAGATTGTATATTCTTATTTATATTCTTCCTGCAAATTCGGGCAAGACCACAAATTTTCTATTCTTGTTTTTAAATTTTCTGGAAATAATATGAAAGTTAAGTGGTGATACCTCCCATTTTTCTAAATTAATTTTTTGCTATTTTCAGACATTCTAGCTATTTTTTTCAATTCTTTTTTTGTAAAAATCTATTTAATTATGCTAGAGACAATTAAATATATATAAATAAATATTTAATAGAAGAGTTGAAAATAATTGGAAGAATAAAAGAAGCTTTTTGTTCACAAAGATTTTCTTTTATTTTGAGAATATTCTAAGGATATTTTACTTTCCCTCATTAGTTTAGAATATGTCTTTTTTGAGTCTGTTTTTGTGGGTAGAAATATGAGGGGTATCTTAAATTGAAGGTAATAATTAGGCAACCTCTCTCTCCTCCACTGGCTAATTAAAGAGTTAAAAAAGGGTCTTTGCTGTATCCCTCCTAATCAAATAAACAAACTAAAAATAAATGTTGCATTCACGTGCATTCACAGGCACATATATTTTGACCTCTTTCTATATTAAAAGGAATCCCGACCGTTATCAGAGTCTATCACAATTCCCGACCCTTATCTTAATATTTGTTATTCACTTGTTTACGCCAATCTCGATTTATTAATGTCCCCTATAAATACTCATCCAAAATGGTCATTCATATATCTAATTAGAAGTGTTTTTATCAGGTCTGGCCAGACTCTTGTAATTGTCCCCTTTTCCCTCCCTAATGTATATATTTTAATTTGTAAATAGTTAGATGTAAATAAAGTACTTTAAAGTATACAATTTGTATAAACCTCGAAAGGCTTCGGAACTCAATCCCAACATTTGGTGCCACTTGTCCCGGGCAAGCCTTGTCGAGAGAAATGCGCATGAAATTAAAGCATAAAAAACGGAATTCCAGAAAAGTCGTAAATTAAATAATTAAATGTGCTGAAAGTAGAATAAAGAGATTAACAAATCCTCAAAAAATTGAGAGCTCGAGCTTAAACTCCTTAAATGATCTAAAATAAGAATTTTGCAAAAAGAGGTTAAATGAAGACAAAATTAGAACAAATTAGAATCGAAAGTTAAAAGTCGAAGAAAATAAAATTAAAATATTGAGTTAGAAGAATGTCATGAAATTTTTTGTTTGGTTAAAAAGTGTTCTAAAGTTTAAAGTTTTAAAAAGTAGAAAAGATATGCTAACCGTTAGTTTTAAATCAAAATCAGAGAAACAAAGTAGCGCCGCGGTATTGAGAAATGCTCTTTGCTACCTCTTGATTATCTCTTTGCACATGTGAATAAAAGTTGTAGTACTGAAGGCAGGTGAAGCTAGGTGCACACTCTGTCGGCTAGGTGCCAGGTACTTAATATAATAATGGAAATCTGTACAGTAATAATAATAAATCAAGGCGGGTGCAGCTAGGTGCACACTCCGTCGGCTAGGTGCCTTGAGAAGGATATTAAGCGGGTAAAGCTGGGTGCATACGCCGCAGGCTTAAAAGCCAGATACTCCTTGAGATTTAAATATCTCGAAATTTTTTTCAGTGAATATTTTGTATATGAAGATTTAAAACAACGGCAAGGTACAAAATTGAAGATAAATATTTTTGATAATTTCTGAATGAAATGGAAAATTTGTAGAAAGAGATTAACGAAATGGAAAATGTAGAAAATACCATAGCTTAGGCTTCAAAATTGGTATCCAACGAAATTAAAGTGCAAAATTTCGTTGAGAAAGGAAAAAATTATTATATAATCAAGAAAAGTAATCATGTAATGTTAATTACCTATGAATAAGATATTAAAATATGAATTAAATTAAAAACTGGTTAGAAAAAAAAAAAGTAAATAATAGTTCAGAAAGAACAATTTAATTCATTAGTTAAAAAAAACAGAAGCTATATTAAATAAATTGAGATAAAACGCTAAAATAAAAAATAACCTAAATTTGTCGAACATTTCTTAACAACATAAGAAATCTGGTCAGACCCACTTAAAATAGTAAGCGAGAATCAAATTTTAACCGTCAAATACACATTAAAAACTTAAACTGATGAGAATTGTAAAACAATTAGTATAACTTATGGAATAGTAAAACTTTCCGCTCTAAATAATTGAAGTAGTTACCCCCCCCAATTTGTTGCACAGGTGTGCAACAAATTGGAGGCGGAATTTTGAAACATCAAAGGGAAACCCAAGGGTGTAGGGGGTTTCCCGGACCCATCCTCATTAATTTGTCGGCATGATCAAAGGGTTTGGGTCATTAATTTGGGAAGGTACAAGATAAGTGACAGGTTTTGATTGATGGGTACAAGATTTTGATTGATGATTACAAGGTACCACCCAAATGTTGCACAACGTGCAACATTTTGGTGGGTACCAAAACGTTGCACGTTCTGCAACATTTTGGTGGCTGAACGACAATCAAAGGAAACCAAAAGGATTTGGGGCACTTTTAGGTTCTCGGAGCGGGAAATTTGATTGACAGGTACAAGTAAAAGGTACTTGTACTTGTACAGGTACAAGTACAAGGTACTTGTACCTTGTACTTGTACAAGGTACAAGTGTTTGATTGATGGGTGACAGGTGATTAATTTGATTGATACCTGACAAGGATTCAATCCCGGACTGAAAGTCTGGGACTGAAAAAAGTTGGGGGGTAGGGGTCCGGGGTACGGTAGAATTAAAAATAATAAAAATTAATAAAAATAAATTAAATAAAAAATAAATTAAATAAATTTAATAAAAAATAGGGAGAGATAAAATTTACAAAATTTTACAAAAAAATTAAAATGATTTGCAAAAAAGGGTGGAAGTCAAAATGTAAGGGGGAGGTAACCAATCATTTCAAATTCTCAAGATCTTATCTAATTGATCGATGATTAATGAGTCTGGGACTGAAATCTCGGCGCAGCCCGCGGAGGGGGAGGAGGAAGATTTCCCTCTCAAGGTCATTTGCGGGAAAAATTATTCTTCTCGTAGTAGAATGGAATTTCAGTCTGGGACTGAAATATTTTGGGCTGGGAATTTCAGTCTGGGACTGAAATTTTCGAGTCAGGGATTGAAAAAAGTTGGGGCAGGGGTCCGGGGTACGGTAGTTTTAAAAATAATAAAAATAATTAATTAAAAAATAAAAAATAGGGAGAGATAAATTTTTACAAAATTTTAAAAAAATATTAAAATGATTTGCAAAAAAGGGCGGAAGTAAGAATGTAAGAGGAAGACCAATTATTTCGAAATCTCAAAACGACAAAATGCCACAAGGACAAAATGCCAGCTCACAGAATGTCAACTCTCAATTCGCCAACACCCAAAATGTCAATGTTCAAAAGATCACCTTCACATTCTATATTAAATTTATCTCTTCATTTAAAATAATATAAAATTTAAACACCTTCAATTAATTTATATAACTTTCACTTATCCCTAACACTATCCTACAATTATCACTTAAGATAACTACAATAGATCACCTAACTTGATATTACATAACATTCCAAACAAAACCAAACATGGTTCATATAGCCTTTGACCCAAGGACAATCGGTTACGACGACCATCATATATCTATCAGCCAAGTAGGACAAGGCGCAGATGAAAACTATTACTATTTTCGTGGACTAAATCCTTATCAACGTGGATACGGGAGACAAGCGGGTGGTGGAGTCGGAGATGTACTCAGAAATTTTTGGCGTTTCCTCCTACCGTATGCAAAACGCGCGGGTACAGCTGTAGCAAAGGAAGCATTGGATACTGGTGGGAGAATTTTAGAAAGTGTGGGGAATCCAGAATATGGCAAAGAAGATTCTAACCCAAATTTTAAGCAGACAGTAATAAGTGAAGGAAAACGGGGGTTGGACAGATTACTCGAGAAAGGAGGATTGCCAAAACAATTTGGAACCGGATTGCGAGCCAGAGCTAGTATAAAAGGACTCAAAAGAAAACGTAAACCCCATTCATCATTTTCAAAAGAAAATAGTCATCAACTCATTATTGGAAGACCTCCATCTCTTACCCCAAAAAAGAAGCGTCAAAAAATAGACACATTCGGTCTTTATTAAATAAAAATGTCTACTCATCAGAAAATTGATCGCGATTCTGGCAACGCAATAACAAACGCTTTATCATTTTTCGAAACTCCCCACACAAATGTCAGTATTAGCAACTCCTCATTTATTGAATTACTCACACTCAACCCTGTAAATATCACCCCCTTTCATTTCAAAATTCATGCGACTACAAATTATATTGATCTGGCCAAAACTTATGTTTTCACTGAACTTAGGATTAAAAAAGAAGACAAGGATGGGAAACTTGTTGATATAGGAAGGGATGATAATGTATCGGCAGTGCAACTTATAGGTCATACACTTTGGAAAAATTGCCGTATGCATATTAATGGAACTCAGGTTTTTGAAGGGAACTCCCTCATGGCATACAAAAGTATTTTTGACTACGAGCTAACCTACCCACAAAGTGTGAAGAACTCTTATCTTTCTGTGGCGGGGTATTATGATGATGGAGCCACACAAACATACCCAGGTGTTGATTCTAATGGATATGGTGTTAAATCAAGGAAAAGATTATTCTTAGACGAAGATGGAAATCCGCGTACTGCACAATTTATGGCCAAATTGGATGTTGATATTTGTAATCAACCAAGATATTTAGTAAACCAGTGTGAAGTTGATATTGAACTACTACCCAATGAATCAAGTTTCCTGCTTAGTGCGCCCTGGGACACTGCCCCAAAATATCATCTAGAAATTCTGGCTTGCAAATTATATGTAAAGAAGATTGAGTTGATGGACAGCCTAGCCTTTGATATTGCAAAAAAACTTGAAATAAAGCCCGCGAGATACCCGATAAGAAAAACATCTCTGAAATCTTTATTCATCAGTGAAAATAGAACTGAATTTAATGCTAACATATGGATGGATCAGGTGCCTCGAAGAATTATACTGGGAATGGTTGATAATAAAGATTTTGTAGGACGACAAAAAACAACTCCATTTTATTTCCAACATTTTAATTTGAGAGATATTTCCATTACTGCTGGGGGAGTGACATTTCCAGCAGCCCCTTATTCCCTTGATTTTCCGAAAGGAAACTATGCCAGAATTTATCATGACATGCAAGAAGCAATAGGGTACGCGGGATCACTAGAAAGTAACGGTATATCAATGTTTCGTTATGCATATGCAGGATATTGCTTCTTCGTATTTAACCTTACAAATAGCCAGGAAGATAACGGCCCAGAGATGTTTGATTTAATAAAGAATGGTACAACAAGTATACGGATGACCTTCAACGAACCTGTTCCTAGTGGTGGGATTGTACTAGTAGCCATGGGCGAAATCGATTCGCTGCTTATGTTAGATAGGAGCAGAACTATTTCTACAGATATTTCAGTATAAATACCCTCAATTTTCCTTATTTTTTCATTCTCCCATTTCATTTTAAAAATGTGTCACATTACTATAAAAATTGAATTTTGCTTTGTTTGTTTCATTTTATTTTTCTTCCTGTATAAATTTACACAACAATATTCTATGTCTAATGAGGATGAACATCCAGAATATAGAGAAAAATTAAGAGAACGTATAGGCTATTACGCTAATACAATACTTCCTAAGCCAGAACAAATGATTAATTCGTCTTCGACAAAATCCCCAATAATTCCACAAAGAGTACAAAATAGTATTGGACTAGCATCTAACTTTAACCCTGAGAAAAATATTACAATCTTGGATTTTTGGTCAATGGAACACGTGGAGAATGTTCAATTTCCCTCTCCTTGCAAGGAATTTCCTTCATCAGAGACATCAATTGCTCAGACTATTTACTGTTATACATTAATTGCACTCTGGCTTTTATTGCTAGCAACAGCATTGACCTATCAACTGAGAAAATTTATAAAGGTTAAAGACAACGGCAAAGACATTGAACTTGGAGAGATTCAAAGAAAAGATTCAAACCTCCACCTCTTTGACGAAAATGGACACTTTACAAATCGACAAAATCTTATTACACAACAGAACAACTAGAAGATATTTTAAAGGATGCTTTGCCGCAGATAAAATTCCACAAAAATTTCGAGAATACCCGTGCTCATTGGTCGTCAACCTTGAAAAAGCTACTCAAAGAGGATCACATTGGATTGCATTTTTTATAATTAACCCCGAGAAAATATTAATTTTTGATTCATTACTACTCCCCGAACCTCCAATTTCAATAAAAAATTTTATTTCCAAATTTCCAAACCGTGTAATGAATAATGTTCCCGTTCAAAACCCTCTTTTACCTACTTGTGGACAACATTGTATCACCTTTATTTATTTTATTTCATCTGGATACTCTTATAAAAAATTCCTTTCCCTATTATTTAAACATTCAAACCCAGACGAATTTGTATTTTCCTTTATTATCAAAATGATAAAAAATATATAATAAAATTTGACAATTTCAAAAAAGTTTTAAATTAAAATCTTAACATTCTATTAAACATTAGGGTAATAATTACAGTTCCATGATCAAATTTAACAAGACTTCCGTTCATCCATCTTAGTTCAATTTCAATCTCGTTAATTTCTCTGGGTAACACAGGTATGAACATTGGTTGATCATACACTCTTTCTACAACACCTCCAGACCTATTCTCAACGGCCACAATTCTGAGTAATGAACTGACAGAATTACCCATTATTACAGTGCTAGTTAACCCCTTTGAATATACAGCAAAGCTTGTAAACCCTCCTTTGAGATCAATTCCATATTTTCCAATTTGTCCATTTACCAATGGTCCCATGGGGAAACCGAGAACATAGCATAGTTGTGAAGAGATAACAATATTTCGAATCTCAGGATCATTAAAAATTACCCGAAAACGATCAATACTGTCCAAATATTCAAATTCAATGTCAGAATATAAATCTTTTGCTTTAGATTCCTTTTCTTCAATCAAAGTAACTGTTTTCTCATTTATCAGATCGTCAGTATTTTTCTCCTTTTGCTCCTTAAATATCTCTTCAGTTGGTATAATCTCTTCTGAGGAATCCAAATCTAAAACTGGGCTTTCCCTACTTTTCTCCTCCCACCTTTCTTCTTCTTCTTCGAAACTTTCCTCATCAGGTACTGTATCTTGCTCTTCATCTATTGGCTGCTCAAGGGGTATAGGCTCTCCATATTTATCTAATCTTCTTGCATGCTTTAATTGTTCCTTGCTTTCTTTCAGTTCTCTATCTTTTCTTTCATTTTCCTCTACCTCTCTGGCCTTGTCCTGCTCATAACCATGTCTGTCCTTGACAACCTCAACCATTTCATCCGTAATTACGGGAGCAGGAATTGGTACTGGTTTACCTTGATCATCTGTCTTTAGTGCATTTTCCAAATATTCCGGATGAGTTCTCTCTTCAATTTTTTGCATCTCCTTAATTTCATTTCTAGTTGGGGGAATTGGCAGCTCAAAATTTTTCCATTTCTTGTAGGCAGCATGGTGTATTGCTGTAAATCTATTTCTTCTGTAGGAAGCCAATTTACTTAAATTGTCAATCTCCTTCCCTAGTTTATTCTTTTCTTCCTCATTTTGTTCTTGTGAATGGGCATCTCGTTTTTCTCGAATTTGTCTATGTAATTCCTGTAGATCACCTAAATTTTTCTTTAACGCTGTCCAATGATCTACAGGGTGGTCCTCGAAAAATTTCTGGACAAATTCTGAGTGGGTATTTGAATTTTGCTGATGAAATTCATCTCTAGTAATTTGCAAGTCTCTTTCAATAATAGCAGATTCCAATGCTTCCAAATTCTTACGCATACGTTTTATTGAATTAATAAACCTCTGAATCTCATCACCAGATCGAGCATTCTTAACACCCTCTTCCCTGCTTTCTCTAATTTTGTCTTCTAGTTCAATGTATCTTACTATTATATTTATTTCCATCTTTATTACTTCCTCGTGATAATCATCTGGGTGTTGTTCCAAAAACTGGTTTGCTATTAGTCCATCATCACGCCTATCCCTCTTATTAGCTTCCTCTGTTAAGAGACGAATTTCCTTCTTTTTACCTTCTGAAAGGGAATGTAGGTGATCAAGTTCTTGCTGTAATTCTCCCTTATGTGTATCATCCTTCTCATTAAGAACTTGTTTTGTTTTTTCCTCTACATCAGATTTATGTTGTTCTAATTCTTGTTCATAATCGCGTATGGCTTCCCAGTAATTGTGTGGATACTGATTAAAAAATTCCTTTACCCATAATGGCACAGTATCTACTTTATCTGCCTCTCTCTTTCTTCGTTTCTTAGCTGGCTCCACTACTAAATTAATTTCTGGGTCAATGATAACTTCATCCTCCAAAGTATCGATTGATACATCGCGTCTTTTCCTAGGTTTCTCTTTATTGGATAATACAAGTTTTAAAAAGAAGCTGAGTCCGTTGGGTGTTAGCTGTGTTGTTTTGGGGATTCCAATTCTATGCGGTTTCTTATTTTTGTAATTAATTTCGATCCATTGTTTAATGTCGGTGCCAATAGTTGCAGCCCATGATTGTGGGTATTGGATACTGTAGAGTCCACATACCCAGTTTCCACCTTGAAACTCTATTGGTTTCGGAAGATGCACTCGATATTTATTGGGTTTATTATCTGGGTAATCACTAACATTGCTAGGAAGAACAACAAAGAATGTATTAGCCATAATTTATTTTGAAGATAATAATAAATTGAACAATTAAAGTGAAAAAATAATTAAAAATGATTTATGGGAATGAAAAATTGGGCTTTTATACAAATTGATTTTCGTCTATCCATTGGGGTTGAGGGTAATCAAAAAATTTAACAAAATATTCTTTTCCTCCATCTTTTTTCATTCTGCTCTTAATAATCTTCTCAATTCTGTAGCTGGTATTCTCATCCTTCCTCACTCTGGTTAAT